AAGTTTTCTTTTTGAAAGGTTTCTTAGGGCAGTTGCACATCGGCAAGTAGTGAAACTTGTGTGGGGCTATACCAGCAGTTCAAGAAGGTACCCCCTTCCTTGCTGTGCATATGCCAAGATACGGTTTCTCTCTTGTTTATGCGAATCATGCTTGAAAGTATGATAGTAGTAAAAAACTGTCCAGAATTTCCATAGGGGTGGGGGAAACAAGCTGTCAGTGACAGTTAGAAAAATCTAGAGGGATGGGTAAGTAAATCTCTTCCATTAGGGTATTTAGGGGGGGGGGGGTATTGCTTAGAACTACACATTGAAATACATACTCTGGTTCACTCTTTTTCCCTTTGGTATACAGAGTGGTATAATTTGGTAGCCTTTTATTCGGGTTTTGTAACTTAAACCAGCAAGTTTGTTAACACCCAATGTTTCAAACAACCAATATTAAGCAGCAGTCATATGCATGTTTTCTTCCAGCATTTTTTCCTTACAAGGTTCACATAAACAACAATGAGCCAGGACACAGTTACCACATTAATTTACAGCATCTTATTCACCTGAGTACATTACACCAACACAGAAATTATTATATTGAATTGAAGTATATCTAATTGAAGTATATACATTTCCCACAACTTTGTGCAAAGTAATATGTTTTCTTACACAAAGTAATATGTTTTCTTACGAGTTTCAATTTGGCAACACAGTAATCTTTAAGCCATCTCTCTTTGAAGACGTATCGTGCAATAACGGAGGTGAAAATAATATTTTATAAGGAGACCAGTAAGCATTTGTTTTGTTTTTAATGGCCATCACATGTTTGTTTTGTGTCACAAATATAACCAAAACGTAAATAAATACAATCCAAAACGTACCAGGTGTCAGTTGACGTTTCCCCAGACAATCTAACAGACAGTGTTTGCTGCTTTTGCTCTCTCTCTCAGTTTTATTACTCTTCATGTATTAATGTTTCTTCAGTGGCAATAGCTTCGACTGAAGTATCATAGGCCTCGCACAAATTCACACTTTTCTCCATATTTACATCATCCCCGCTATCACAAGAAACGTCTTAGGCAAAAGGAGTTCGCAAGATGATTGTGTTGCAAAATTTGAGCTGTGGCTTTCGTCAGAAGACATAATTTTGGACAAAAATCAGCCTAGTATAAGCCTTTGATAATATTAATTTCTCCTTCGGGAAAGAAGCGTGTTGAGTAAATGACATCACATCCGGCTAAGAGTTGGAAACGTAAAGATATAAATATAAACACAGGATCTTAGTCGTGAGCACTTGTCGATATCGGCTGACGGTTGCCGGCAGTGACGTAAATGCCGTCCAAACCCCTCAAGCATATGGCCACAAAAAAATCGATAACCTTTCACATGTTGATATATATATATATATATATATATATATATATAGTTTTTCGTTTTACCTCAAAAAACCACAACAGTCTGTTTCATCCGTATAGGAATCATGATTCCTATACGGATGAAACAGACTGTTGTGGTTTTTTGAGGTAAAACGAAAAACTATATTACGCTCTATCTATATGGTATTGAGCACTGTTTGTGTTTCGTGAACCAAAATCTCAAGCTATATATATATATATATATATATATATATATATATATATATATATATATATATATATATATATATATATATATATATATATAGTTTTTCGTTTTACCTCAAAGAACCACAACAGTCTGTTTCATCCGTATAGGAATCATCAGGTGGTGAATAATTTCGAAATTGTAGGTTGCTTTTATGCTATCGAAAGAATGTGCGGAATGCGTGTAGGCGAAACAATGCTTAGGTGAAACAATGCATGCTTGGGTCATTAGGTTTTGTTAACGACCTTGTTTACTCAAAACCGGTTTTTGTGACGACATTTGCCGAAAATTTCGCTTCTTTTATTGAGTAAATTGTCTTTGTTTATGTCTTTCAAAATGCAAAATTTTTCTTCAAAACATAAATTGCAGCGTTTTGATCCCCCTGTGTACGAAATAGCGTGTTTTAAAATTGACCATTTGATGGTATAATCCTGATTGTTTTCTTTTAATTTCCAAATATGATTCGAAAGTTCCGTTTTGTTTGAGTCTTTTTTATGACGAAAAGATGAAGTGTGGTTAGCGTAACGTTCCTTAAATGTAGTCGCTGTCATACCAATGTAGTGTTTAGTGTCGTTCGTGTTGTTCGTTGTGACTGTTGCTTTGTAAATAATGTTGTTGGTCATGCATTGTTTCGGTAGTGGACAAGTGTTTTTGTTGTCGCAGTTACAGTTGTCAGTTTCCGTATTCTGTGATTGACTGTTCCTAATTATATGTGCGTTGTGTTTGGTGATTATAGACTTAACGTTGTTCATGCAACTGTAGCTTACTTTTAAAGTGTTTCTGTTGAAAATCTTGTGTAGTTTGTGTTGTAGTGGGAAGTGTTTGTCAATTAAACTTAAAAATTCCCGTCCTATGTTCGTGTTAACACTCTTACTAAATGGTGGGTTGAACCAAATTATGTTGCGTTGCCTATTCCTACGTGTCCGTTGCGGTGCATCCTGAGTGTACGTAAATTCGTGATTAAAGTTACTGTGTGTAAGAGCGTTCTGGTAAATAGGTGTGGATTACTCGAATGTTGCCAAGTCAGATTTATGCCATTGATGTATTTACCAGTATATTGGCTTCAGTATATGTGCGCTCCATTTATATGAATAAATTATTATTATTATTTATTGTTATCAAAACATGGAGAAATGGGAAAATTGTGCATAATTGCAATTCTTTTCCAATATATGTTAAAAATTCTTACAATAATCGAAAGTGCAAATTTCCTTACGATGGTACTCTACAGGTGAACTAAGAACTTTGCCGAACGGAAAAATATCGAAATCCATACTACTGAATTTGCAATTTTGGCACCAAATCAATAGTATATCCATACTATTTCCATATTATATCCGTAGTATGAAAATTGCAATTAGTACAAAAATTTGATTTCCTTCTATCCCTTGCGAAATTCCATACTATTTCCACAGCAATGATTTTGAAAGAAATTTCCAGTGTACGTTAGTAATTCGCATCATTATTACTCTGCACACGACAGCATGAGCCATCTACGCATGCCCTGCTTGGATGTACTAGTTCATCTTAGCTTTCAATTTGTGACCGCAATTTTTTATCGTTTTTGACAAACGGAATGTTATTGTAACTAAGCGGTGTCATAGTTTAAACTTGTGGTGCATGATATAGACATATGTTTTATGCAAATACTTAGGGTCACTGAATGTGTCGCAATGTGCCAGTGTGCTTCATTTCATTGGAAAAACAATTGGCCAATGATAAGGCTGGCAAAAGATTAGCATATTATACAGCCCGATGTAACCCATAATCTGACTCTTTGTTGAGATGCTTGTAACATTAATGGCGCGTATGACATCATATGTATATTACGGGAGTGATTCGCATTGACAAACAACTTTTATTTATTTTACACAGATGTGTCTTGGTTGGGTATTTGCGTTACTCGTCGTCACAGGTTTACATTTTGCCCAAGTTGAAGGTAACAAACTCTATATAACTCTACAACCAATGATAAAATTATTGAAATACTAGCTTTGTTTATAGCACAACAAGAACTAAAGCTCAAAAGTTAGCTCATAGTCGTTTCCCGCATTCAGTTCTTACTTTGGGAAGAGGCGGCAAATTACTATTTCTCGTGTTGTACCTATTGAGTGTAGTTAAAGGCGCTCTAAAGCTATCAAAATATTCTTGTATATTTCCTTTGACTGCATTGTGAGCATCAACACATCGATGTCCAAAACGTCTTCTCGCCCGCGGTCATGGCACCATAGCACCAATCAGTAGCGTAGCCAGCCCGATGATTTAGTCCCGCTATGCAAATATTTTCGTGTTCATTGACTGTGAAAACAATTAATTTGTAAAGAAATGAATAACGATAATAATTTTGAATTTGCATGGCGGGACTAAATTGTCGGGCTGGCTACGCCACTAAACACCATAGGCCATAGCACCGCCATGGGCCATGACCTCATCAGCACGCAGTTTGCAATCTACGATTTTCCTTGCCTGAAAACGGTTTTGGAATCCTTGTAAATCTTCCATTAATAACAATTCATATTAGAAATTATAAGCGTCAATTGCATTTATGAATGTTGGTAATGTATCTGAATCACGCATATCTGCAGGTAATGAGTTCCACAATTTAACTCCATCATAACAGGTTTTAGCTCCATCATAACAAGGTTTTTCAGTTTTTGGCAAAGGTAGTTGTAGTGAGGTAGAGGAGCCCCTAAGATCATATTCTTTTATGTTTCATTGTGTACGAAGAGAGTTGCGAGTAACTTGGAGCCAAATCGTTTAGAACTTTGTACATTTTTTTAACTTTAGATTTGGCTCGTCGAGTTTCAAGAGGCTCGATCGCTCCCACCCTAGAGCGTTTATTGCTTATATACCAGGTGTATTGTACCTCAAATTCATTATTATTCTTAATTGCAGCTCTATTCTGCAGTGTTTGAAGTCTGCTGGAGAGCCCCACACCAAGTGTATCCCATACCTCACTACAATAGTCAAAATGAGGACGTATTAATTTAACAAGGCCGTTATATCATGCTAAACATGCCTTTTTGTCATCCAGAGAATGCACAATACGATTAAATACAAACAACCGATGACCACGTTTCTTGATAAATGCTAGCGTTATTCCCAAATATTTAAAGTCGGAGACCCGTTTGACTGGCGTCCAAGTTTGACCACCGTCCGTTTGACCACCGTCAAAAGTCCGTTTGACCACCGTCGTCCAAGTTAAACTCAAAATTCAGTGACATTTTGACAACATCGTTTTACTTCCGGCCAGCATAATTTTTGCCGTTTAATTAACATTCAAACTCAATCTATTGTCAGTGTACTAGTCACGCATTAGACTGAAATCGTATGAAGAAGCCTTTTCAAGATCCACAGGTGTAGATGCAGCATAAATTAGAACGGCGACATCAGTATACAAATTCATGCGACACTTTAATTTTTGCACTAGCTTTTGACAAACTGTTTACATATATAACATTCAATAATAACGGGCCCATGATACTCCCTTGAGTGCCACCAAGGTCGATGTGAAGGGTTTCTGATAACTCTCCTTTAACACCCACACATTGCCATCTGTCTACAATATACGATTTAAACCATTTCAATGCACTTCTGAACAATCCGATATGTTCTAGCTTTCCCAATAAAACTTTATGGTTTAAGGAATCAAATGCTTTGGATATATCATCAAATAGAAAGCCAGTGAGTTCTTTCTCTTCCATGGCTTCAACCGCCCACTTGTTCATTTGTTCTATCGCCTGTACAGTACTATGCCGACGCCTAAAACCATACCGATGCGGATACAAAAATCCCAACTGATCAAGATGTGTAGCCAGTTTTGCGTGAACAACTCTTTCCATAACTTTGCTTGATACCAGTACACCGAAATAGGTCGATAGTTCTCCACTAGTAGCTTATCCTCACTCTTATAAGTTCAATCTTCCACACATCATGCATAGTTCCATCAACTATTTATTTATTTACTTGTAATATTTCACATTATATCTGCTCTCGTTTGATGAATCTTTGCAATATGTGTCTTCTTCCAATCTTCGTAGCTTTTAACGATGCCACTGAATGAACTGACAAACACCAGAAAGGTGGCTGCATTTTACATGTCCGCTGTTTGCACGTTTAATGTTTGCATATTGCCAAATTCCATTGACATTATGTGTTAAAATTCCGTCATTCCCTTTTCATTACTGACACTACTTGCTATAATTACACAAAGATTTTTTCCAATTTTCAAAATTTATTTGAGGAACAGCCTTACACTGTTTCCATGCATCAACTGTAGATAATTTGCGTGCAACGGTACACCCGATATTTGCAAACACTTAATGAATAGGAGGATACAGCTTTCGGCCCCGGCAGAATAAGCTTATCATTTCGACTGGAAATGTTTTATCTCCGTTGTTCTCACGCCCAATCACAGAGTTTAACTTAATGAGTGCCACATTTCTTTAGGGTTCACTGATGATTTGATCTGATTTTTATACTACAGCGATTCAGCTGATTTTGTCTTCCTGTTTGTCAACTTTTTGAACTTGCGATAATTTTCCCTCTGTTCCTTCACATGCATTTGTCCTTTTCGAAATGCATTATTTCCTTCAGCCATTAATCCACTTCATGTTATTTGTAACCCAAAGTTTGGATACATTTCTTAATCTAAGTTTCTTTGAAGGGGTGTGTTTATTTACAACATCAACGAGAAGTGCATGCAGATACAGCATCATTCATTAATATCAGCAAAACATTCAACAATATACTCCACGGAATCTTGAATTATCTCACTTTTTTTAATATATCACGCGGGCTTTACAAACGCTAGACTTCCTCACTCCAAATGATCGCTTGCTGGAAAATTTTGTACTACGTACGAAACAAAACGATGCACATTAATTACAAAAACAAGATAGATAGCTGTCCGATTATTTTCTGTTATTATGTTCTTTATATATAACAAGTTGATTTAAATCATGCAATTGAGTGTCATGCAATAAGGATCTTGTGTACTTACTACGTTTCCGAGCAATGAGATCCGCGTTAAAATCACCCATTAAAATAATATCCTTTTTCGGTCCATCGTTCATCTTCGAGACAACATCTTGTGTAAGGTGTGTAACCAAAATTTCCCCGTCCATACTTTGTGCTTAATATAAAATCCCGACGATAGTATTCTTGGCCTTACTCGGGCAGATTTCCACACACACCATTTCCAAAGATTCACATTCTAAATCCCTTCTGCGTTTGCTAGACCATTTGTCTTTAACAAATATAACACAGCTCCCACCAAATCTGTTTCTGTCCTTTCTATACAATACGTAATTCGATGGACACACCGCATGTCCTATCAGAAAACGTTGCATCCAAGCGGGATTCTGAGTTATTGCGAATACATCAAGCCCTCTGTCTACTTCAAGAAAAACATTCATATCAATTATAGATTTCCAACTTTTCCAGGCAGTGTGACAATGTTTACATTGAACAAACTTAATTATGTCGCTTTTGTTCAAACCAGGGTTTTACCTAGACTAATAAAATTCGAGCAGGGAAAATAGAAAGAAAAAAAGATTCGTGCACCAGAAATGTCTGAAAAAAACAACTCGTGCAGAGACTTTTCAATAGGGAAAATTACAGGGCCTATCGGAGGTACAGTGTAAGGGTGTCCCCGAAATTTCGAGCAAGGGATTATTTAAAGAAAAAAATAACCGACACAGCAAAACATTTTGAAAAAAAAATCGTGCACGTTGAAAATGAACCCCCCCCCCATCACTTTTCTAATGGTCCGCCCCTAATATTAGCACTACCATCACTTTGATTGTCTGCTTTTGACGAGGTTCGGCTACATTTAATAAGTGAATTAAATCCTAGATTTAGATTTAGACTGATGCCCAACTTTCGGAATTATCACAAAGTTCACTGTGCTCTTTAGATTCCATCGCAATACTTTTTTTTAAACCTAGCAACAGACAAGTCGCTTTGAATAGCCTTTTGAGTTTTTCTACAACATTTGTGACAAACAGATAAGGATTTCTTACAGGCCCAGGATTAGTCATAATACCGCCCGCAAGTTACACCAAAGAGGTAGCACGTATACTGATATTTGCAAACTTTGTAGCAATGGCACATTTTAAAGATCGCGCTACTAGTGAAGCCTTGCTTAATTAATATCCAAACCAGTTGAGAAGTAAACATGAAGCATCATTATTCAGATTTTTTATCCTTTTTTGTGATCCCACAATTATAATAATGATGAAGAGAAATGCGACAAATAACGTAGAGCAACAAAGGGCAACCTTGGCGGCCATCTTGTTATCGCTTATATATAGCAACCATATAGCAATCAATGACAACTGTTGAAACTAATTATATTATAACCAGGCGTTTTTGAATATTTGAAAAACACGGACATGCTGGAATTGTTTTAATATTCATTTGGTCAAGAAACGGAGAAGCTAACTCCTCGATAAAGCTTATTATTATATGGCTTTTCAAAATTCTCTATTCTGATTGGTTGACAAGCGGTCCGTAAAAACCCATATCCGGACCGTGGTCCGTATTTTCCGCACCTGGACCGGTGTCCCGGATGTCGTTTATCTGGCGGGAAATTTTTGCTTTGCAAACAGAAAAAATTGTGCTTTTTAAATTTCCAATTGTGCCTTACAGATAAAAATTTCAAACAACGAAATTGTTTGTGATTGAGCATTCATGCCTACCGTATATTGTTACCCAGTGAAACTGACGAAATCCAATTTAATTCGCGCGAAAAGCATGTGCTCACAGACTCAGTTCAGCCATATAATAAACCGATTATTGACCTCGCCTGTTCGGTCTGTACTGTGAAATGTCGGTCTGACATCTAAAAAACCTCGGTCTGACATTTCACAGTACAGACCTCAAGCTCGGTCAATAAGCCGTTAATATCTACAGTCGGTATCGCCTATCGGGCTTAAGCATGCAAACGACGTTTTTGACAACCGTACGTTCGTGCACGTTCATGCCGTTCGTGTTGTTAAAAACGTCGCTTGCTTAAGCTCAATTATATCTACAGTCTATATCGTAAGATGGCATCCGGCGAGGCAAATATTCCAAACCGAACAAACTCTTGCAAAAATCCTATCGTCCTAAGAGCATATAGTTACATATTAATAACTTACTGACCGAGAGTGAGGGCAGTACAGGGAAATATCCAACCGAAGACTTGCTGTAATGACTGAGCGATGGCGAGGTCAATGCAGCAAGACCTAGGTTGGATATTTTCCCGTACTGCCTGAACGTTTGAGGTCAGTAAGTTTTTTATTGCTGCCGCAGCGAGCGAGCCTGAAGCGAGCGAGCAAGGCAGCAGATCCTAATTTTGTTTTGTGGGTCGATATCAAAATTTTCTATTTGGCGCATTGCATGACGGTACCAGTGAATTTTAACCGTGGTGCAATGCGGTCAAGCATAAGGCAAACAGGCAATGTGATCATCATCTTTCATCTTTGGTCTTCTTTTATGGAAAGCCATAGCTGGCTTAAAGTGATCAAACAGCATTTTGTTGGGTGCTTTTAGCATTATACAGCGGTGCTTTCGGCATTATACACGGTGCTTTCGCCATTATACGCGGTGGTTCCAGCATTATACGCGGTGCTTTCACCATTTATATACGCGGTGCTTTTGCAATTATACGCAGTGGTCCGAGCACTATATGCGGTGCATTTAACATTATACGTGATGCTAGCTTTCTTTCAACATTATTTTCATATTCTTTCCATGACATGTATATGATTTAACGATTGCTTAAATTTGGTATGTGGTTGACGAATGCTTTTTGCCTATGGTCCGCAAAGACAATGACATGCTTTTCTGTGTATATAAATGAATATAACGCAGCGAATGCGCCACCCAGTATAAACGCGCGGCTGAAATACGATATTAAAATCTTGAATGTGCCGTATGATTTAATTATGTTTTAGGATTTACAAATGCTTTGTCATTTGGTGTTTATACTTGTACTGCATCACAAGGCAGTACGTAAGTGAAAAAATTTCACATGTAAGATTGTCTTGTATATATTTTTGCTTTCTTTGATAAACATTATTAATAAACACGCAAATTTTAATTAGTGAGACGCACAGTCGCACATGTTAAATGTCACCTGCATGTCATTGTCATTGCCCTTTAACCCCTGGTCTAATTGGCCGCTTTTGAAAATGTTGATCATGACGAACCGCACTTTTGTGTTTTAAAAACGAGTTAGGATAAAACGCGGATACGGACGGACGGATGGCGACGGACGGACCGGACGGATAACATATATATGTCATTATATATAGTCTGCGCGCAGCCGCGCAGGGTAGTTAGTGGTTTACGTCTTCGCTGGTTGTTATACTTTAAAATAATTTTGTATTTACCGAGAAATCAATATTCCGAGTATATAAATATATAAACTGGGATGTCACACTGATAGTTTGTTTACATTTTCTGGAGCATCAAATCTTATGTTTAACCACGGTGGTTTAACCCATTAGCTAGCAATGCGCCAGTCTCTTGTCCAGCGCCAGAAAATTTTACTCGTCAGTGGTACAGGGTACTGCCAGTAAATGGGTTAACAAACCTATCTGCCAATGGCTCTTGTTAATCCATCAGCACAGTAATGACTTTAGTATTTACCCTGTCCAACGCCAGACGATTTTTAATACTCAGTCAGTGGTAGGGCCGTGCTGTCAATAAATGGGTTAACAAGGATAACAATAGCCTGCGTAGCGGCTATCAGAGACTAGGATAACAATAATAGGATGTTTCTGAAGGACTCGTTCAACACCCTGTAGTTTGTCTTTTGCTGCCAAAGGCAGCATTACTGCCCTGTGGGTAACCT